CCACTTCCCAAACTAAACTTTAACCCCAGTCTGGATCAGTTCCCCACCACAAGCTATACTTCCCCTTTAGCTGCACTGTCTAGCTCCCCTGGGTAGTTTAGGTGTCCGTGGGCCTGTTTCCTGAAGTCCCCTTCTCTCAGGAGCTCCTTACCCCACATCATGCAGGGCCAGACTGCTCACTTTGCTTCTGGCTCTGGGTTTGTAAGTCTGTAAGCCCCCCTTCTTTCAGTCATGTGATCCCCCAGCCAAGCACAGGGGTTTCCTCTTTGCCTAATGGCCTTTGTGGGCTCCTCTGTTGCAGCCCCACACAGCAGGCATAGCCTCCTGCACTCTCTACTTGACGTGACAGGAACTTCTGGCTCTTTTTATATTTTATTTTGTGTCTCTTGACAGTTTCCTCCATTTAGTTTTAAAAAAATCAGCTTACATCTAGTAGTTATTATCCAGTGTAATATGCTCACTTCTAACTTTTACTGTCTCTAAAAAAGAACTTGTAACGCATCCTCTTTTACTTTTAAAAACTAACTGGCAGGGTAGTTGCCAGTATAAAAAGTCATTAGTCATTTGTTTTTATGAGGATTTCAGTGGTTATAGTTGTAAACAGCAAAACATAATGACACACTGTATTCTTCAATAGTGATTATATAATCAAATATATAGCATATCATGCCGCAGTGGTCATAACAAGTAAACACTGAACAACAGTTACGATACGGTGGGATCTGCAGTGCTGTAGATGTTGCTGGCAGCTGTTGAATGTATGTTGTTAAACCGCTATGCATACTCAAAGAAATACATGTTTTTATAATAGTCATGGAGAAAAAAATGTCATAAGAAATAGGGGAGAGATTTGTATGTTCAGAACTGGGCCCCTGGGGTCTCCTCAGGATGATCTCACTCCTCTTGCATGGGGTGGCATCCCCACACTTCCTCCGAGGGGCTCTCTATAGGTCAGAATTTGCACACCTGCAACTTGGGAGGTGTAGGTGTAGGGCAGCCGTGTATTATGTGTGTGGGGCAGTTTGGGCTGGTGCTCTGTGCAACTGATCTCCACCAGCTTTGAAGCCACTATTGAGAGGAAACGATTTAGATAAGGGCTTCATCCAACACTTCCTAGGTGAGACAGTGGTGGCAAGGGAAAGTTCAGATGAATACAGCCTCTTTCGAGTCTCAGGACCAATACCTGAGTCTAGGGACAGACATTACACATAAACCAGTTGAAGTGATTAGAAACTGTTTTAAACCTGTAACAGAACAGACATTCAGTGTGCATAAACCAGTTTCAAAATGGCCAAAACTGGTTTAAGATAAACCTGGTTGAATGTAGTATCAGACTTAACTGATTTGGTCCAAACTGATTTATGCAATGTCTGTTCCAAACCTGAGAGGCTGTGTGGTTTCAGCAGTTCCTCCATGTCTTAGGGGCCATTCCACAGATCCCATCTGGAGGGGGAAGGGCACCCTGTGCTGAAAAGCCAAGCTTTTCCAGGGAGTCAGTATAATCTGGATCACTGATAGTTTCATACAATAGTTTCATACAATCATCTTAGTATACCAGAATGAAAAATAGAATACAATAAAATACAGCATTATGTATTTTCTCTCTTCTCAAACCTGGAAACATCTCTTTGACTTCAAGGAATGATTACGAGTATAAAAGATTTTGTATTAAATTAGAGTCTTGTTGCCAGGGATTCTGGGAGTAGCTACAACAGCTCAAGGCCCTGATTCAGCAAAGCACTTTCATGTACTTTGAAAGTCACTTCAGTACATGCTTAAGTGCATTAATGAGTACAGCTGGGTTTATGCACGTGCTTAAAAGTAAGCACCATACTTCTGAGTTTTTGTCAGTCAGGTACTTAAATACTACAGAAAACGTGGATGGATGGAAGTACTGCCAGTTTGCATAGATGCCTATGACCTGGGCTTTCCCTCAAAACATAGAAGCTCCACTGAGGTAGAAAACCACATGCCTGTGCCCTCTGGAAACATCTCACTCTTCTGGAGATGTTACAGAGTGACCTCTTCTCATGCAAGTTCACACAGATTTCAGCTTACCTGATGATGAGAATGATTATGCTCCAGAATTTATAAAATGAAACATGACATTGCAAGCAGTTGTTGACATCCTATTGTAAGTTTGGAAGAAGGAGAAAGACAAATAATGCATTGCTTTGTCATTTTTAAAGACTTCTTTCTGGAGGAAGTGGAATGGTCAGCTTTAAAGCTGTTCACAGTGGAGACTTGGGTGAGGAAATCTTGAGGGGAAGATTAAATGACATTGGAGGAAATCAGGAGAGCTGAAATTGTGGGAGAAGAGAGTGGATGAAGGAAAGAGTAAAGGGGAAACTAATAGGAAACGAGAATCCAGAGACTGAGGAGGAATAGGAGCAGGGTGGGACAAAGAGGAGCATAACTGAGGTGACTAGAGAAGGAAGTTAAAATCCTGTTGGAGAGAGATCAGTAAACATAATAGTCCAGAGCTGAAAAAATGAATGTTAGAATCTGCTGATATCCCTTCTTGTTGATGCAGACCTACTGGCAGTTGGTGTTTTCCAGGGTCTGATGCTTTTTATATCATCCTCAGCAAGTTACTAGATCTGGGCCTGGATTTTTTGAAGGAGGAGTGGCTGTTGGGACCCAGCGTCCTTGAAGGGCTTCCTTGGATCTGGAAAGGGAGGAGCTGACACGCCTGGCTTTCAATCCCATTCCTGCTGCTGTACTTGGCTCTCAGCCAGTTGGAGAGTGGACCATTGAGAATAACATTGACTTTCAGCTTGCTTGCAAAATCAGTTAAACAATTTACTGTTAAACATGCACTGGATAATATTGAAGCTTTTGCTTGGTATTTGGGTTTCTAAAAGTTCTTGATTTGTATTAACAGCAAAAAACCTGTAAAATGACTTTATGCAGCTCCAAACTTACCTATTTTAAATAGTTTGCAGATTAAATTTGCTAAGTTTAGTCAATCAATATACAATATTTTCTTTGCTGGCCTAACAGGAAACTTACCAGGTAATGTGATCTCCAGCTGTGGTTTTTTTGCCTCTCACATCATCATTAGTTATAAGGATTCTGTGATTTGAACTTTGCCTGACAATGAACCTCAAGGCCAGTTCATTCTTCTGTAAACATTGGTTTTACACTGCTAACAGAAGTAGCATTTTTTTTAACCAGTAAAGGAAAGATTACTCAAAAACATGCAGTGTAAAAATGCTTTGACAAAGTGGGTGCTATTCTTATATGGACATTTTTCAGACTTGAAGAACACTTAAGACACCATAAATGGTTCTTGGTCAGTTGTTAGGGTTTGGTGGATAATTTGCCAAGGTGGCAAAGAAATGAATCTGTTGCTAGTGTGTGCTCTTAATACCCAATGAATGCAGCTGCATAACATAAACCTTGGAGCAAATGGGCTATTTTCATATGTGGAAAGCTAAAATGGATTTACCTTGAAAATACTTTTACCAAGCCAAAAAGATAACATCAAATAGGGAAGGAAGGAAGAAAAGGGGAGCAAAACAAAGCAGGAAAAACCTCTATTCCCCCACTTTTTATAAGCTTGCTGCATTTTTTTTTCAAGGAAGTTGGTGTCACGTTAGGAACTAATAACTTTGATCTTTGTCCCATTCATACATTAGTTTTTCCAAGCTGATAGCTGAACAGAATTGGCTCTTGCATCCGATTACATTCTGTTAGCCTGATAGGTGACGACAACTATCCCATTGATCGTGGTATGTGTACGTTAAAAAAATACATTGCTTGTTTTATTATTCTTTGTAAGCCAGCAGCATCAAAGGAATGAGCTACCCCCACTGCTCTCACAGCTGCTGCCTATGTCTGTTCTATATATACACTAAACTAATTGGAAAAACAGGGACAAAAAGGCATTTAGTTCAGGTCAACCAATTGGACTACTGCAAATGCATGACAGGCTTAATCATTGTCTTTTGCCAAAGATCAGGTTGCTAGGGGCAAGCACTCCAAGCCTTACTTCTGAACATTGGTCTTTTTCCCGTGCCTTGGAACATGGACACTGTGAGAGAAGGCATTCAGACAGACTATGGGCATTGTAGCAGGGTATGATGACAAGGATATTTTCAGGAAAAGCTATTTGTCCTCATCAGCTATGAACTCAAGGTTCAGCCTAAGTTCCTTATGACTGTGTGAAGCTTGAGAAAGACACAGTGTTCCCTCTTGACAAAAGTGATGCGGTTAATTACTGAATTCTTGTAGTAGAGTTAGTATTATTGTAGCTACAACCTGAAGAAGGGCAATTTGTGTCTTGTGTCTAACATCTCTTCTGACTATATATTGATCCAATACAAGCTATCAACAAGAAAATCCTTGAACAGTTGTAAACATCAAATCAGTTTATGGTGCCATATCATGCTAAAAACATAAAGGAGAATCTTTGCTTTGTTGCAACCTAGTTTTTGTCATCATCCATGCAAATGAACATTGGCAAAAGTAATTTTAAAAAGCCTAATCCTCTTAATGATTAACGAATTTTGGATCATCTACATTTGTTTTCATCACAAATATAGGTGTGCTTTTACAATAGAGGTAAGTTGGCAAATCATGGAAACGGGCAAAATACCTCTTTTTTTAAAAGCTTTTTCCAATAGATGGGCTTTTTAGAAGTTGTAAATGACTAGCCATCTCAGCATGAATTCTGTATTGCAGAAGTAATTAGTATGTGGTGAACAGAATATTTGTTCACACTAATTAGCATTATTTTCTTCTGAAATCTAAAGGAAAAATATACACCAAAAATGGCCTTAAATTAAAAATAGGTCAGGGATCAGCTGATCTAGGGAATTCTTTATTGCCTAGTATTTTCTCTCCAGGCAGTTGAAGTTCATGGAAATAATTGCACATAGAGTCTGGTTGTTATTCTTTTAGGAATGCCTGTTATACTTTGAAAAAATACTTTGCTTCCCTATTTGTGCTGTTGATTGTATCAATAATCTATTTTTTCTCTTCTCTTTTTTTTCTAGGCCTTCTGCATTATCTAATAGCCCAACGTATTCAGATCTTCCATTCATTAGAATTTCTCCACACAGAAATCCGGCTGCCACCTCAGAATCTCCCTTCAGCCCTCCTCACCCTTACATTAACCCATACATGGACTACATTCGATCCCTGCACAGCAGCCCTTCTCTGTCCATGATCTCAGCAGCCCGAGGACTCAGCCCAACAGACGGTGGGTTAAGAATGGTTTCCTGTTTGCTGTCATTGTGGCGACTTAAGTTATATTAATCTTGTCAACATTTTTTTCTTCATACAAAGCAGCTTCAGCACCTTTGTCAGATATATTCATTATGTCATAAATGTTTCAATACTTCATCAGCCTATCAACTGGTCATTTGTATATTTCACAAATGCTGAAACTTTTGCAAAAAAAAATCCTCATGCAAAATTTAAAATCTAAAGGGGCTTCAGCTTTAGAACATCTTTTGTCTGTGGGATGGACTGTGGGTGTGATTTTGTTTTTTCTGTAAATCAAGAATATCTGCACTGAGTCAAACCTAATTCTTAATTAGTGAAAATTAGTAGAGCACCATATTGTTCATGGAACATATTTGTTGGGAAGTTCTTTTCTTTAATTAAAACAGTAGTTTTATTATCTTAACTCTGTACTCACTGGGTACTTTGAACCATTATAGCACTGCTTAATTTCAGTGGAACAGTGATTTCTCCTAGGTGAGGATCTGGCCAAATGAGATTACACTGGAATAAAATAGGTGATTGGTGATCACAGGCAAATCCCATGTGTTTAAACTAGTCAAATTTAGGTAGTATAGTTAGGAAGTGTTGTTTCCTTTAGATTTGGCTGGTATACAGATATTACTTTCCTGTTTATTTGGATGTGAGTTAACATCTGCAGTCTCTCCTCTATCCTTATTCTGGCAAAACTCCCATTAATTTCATTGGGACTTTCCCTGAGTGAGCAGTGAACAGAATCACTTGTGGGCTGGTTCCTGTTAATTATTTTGTTTCCATAGTTTAGTAGTTTGATACTTCAAAATGGTAATGTTTTGCTGAATAGTATTATAGTGGTGTAATTTAGTGGCAATAACTTAACTCCTTTTTAACTAAGAAAAAAGATCCTTCCAATGCGCACACAGATTTACAAAAGAGAGACAAACTGCCGTTAGCTGAATTTGAAAAATGAGCAGTACACCTTGCCCAAATGGATAACTAATGAATCCTCACTTATAAGAACATATACCTTTACAGCTAATCCATTAGTTATGGGTGCATATTCTTGTGAGCATAAATTTTAATGACCTATTGTCAATCAGAGTTTATGCATACACATAAGGCTTTTTTGTCAGTGGTATGGACTGTTTGGTGATTGTGTAAATCATTGTTAACTCCATGCTTCTCTAACAAAAGCTCTGTGCAGTGACTGGAAAAATTATTTTAAAGGAACTTGTCACTGAGTACTCTGGAGTGCTTATCCTGCCTTGGAGACTTTGGTTTATTTTTAAATAAATATGTTGTAATTATGTGTTTCTCTATTTTTCAATAAAGGTTAATATAAGGACATTTCAAGAACCTTTTATCAAATCTGATTAAAAAAAAATCACTTACACTTTGATTCTACTCCACTGCATGTATAAATAAAGACCAATGTATACCATCCATATGGCATATCTGGCATGAGGTGTCAGTAAAACGACCTGTTTTTTTTAAAGGAAGTTAAATATGTTGCACAGCTAGCTGTATGTGTTAGTCAAGCATGGAACCGTACAACCTTTATTCAGAGAGAGCTTCCTAGGATCACACCATAATGTCTCATGTTCATTTATAGTCTCTGCCCCATTTTGGGTACTACCAGAATGCTAATTACAATGAATAACAGCATATTTGTTGCCATACGTGTGCATATACGCACACTGCTAATGTCAGAACTGAGTTACTAATCCATTCAGACACATGCACAACGTGCACTGGAAGGCAAATAAAATTGTGCTGTTTTCCTGAAATACATAAAAAGGTATGTAACATTAATTAAATTGCTTTAGGCCATTTAAATTACTGTTCCAGGGATCAGTACACTGATGCACAGATCCTGGGATAGGTGGAAACCAAAAAAGCCTAGAATGTAACCCAAAGAAAGCTACAGGTGTGCTCTGTTATGCTTCCTGTAGCCTTTTGGTGAAGCAGGGGAGAACATAGCTGAGTGCCTTGCATCCTGCCCTGTCACTTTTAGGAACACCAATGATGGACAGCAATTCAAAAACTCACTTCAGCAACACAAGGCAGCCAGAAAGTGGGCCAAGGACTGGGTCCATCCAATTTGTATGTTTTCCAGTACAGTCCCAAATGCTCTCAGTGTTGTCCACACACAAAGAAGACACAGGAGCTCACTTTTCTCCAATTTACACTTGCATAAAACTAGAGCAACTCCACTAAAGCTACAGTGGGGTAAAAATTGGTGCAAAGTGACAAAGACCTGGTCCGTGGCCTAATGATCTCAAATTCTAAATGACCTGTGCCACAGCAGGGCTGGATTTGGATCACCTGTTAATGGTGCAGTCCTTCCAAGATGCCCATGAGTAGATTTATACATGTGAATAGTTTCATTAAGTTTTGCTTTTTCCAAAATACATAATATATATATTAGCTACATATTTTGGAAGCTGAACTTTGCAGCTAAACTCAATTACTCTTCAACTAACCCATTATTAGTTGTCCAATTTTTTAATATTTAAAGAAGGCCTTCAGGAAAGCTTTCTTAAGTAAGCCAAACCTTGAACATATGGAACATTAGCAGTACAGTTATATATGTTAATCTATGCCTTTGCTGGTTCTGCTGCTTTCCCTTTTGAGCTTGCAGTGTTATTGTTAGTTAACCCAGACACTTATGTCAGAAAGCTCAGGAAGCATTTTAAGTGTGTCTGGAAAGATATCGCAGTTGCCTACTACTGTAGAATTTTAAAATCAATGACTCAGTATAATGAGTTTTTTTTAATTTCAGTCAAATGTTTTTCTTACCATTTTACAAGAGGTGACAGTGGGCGAGGAAGGGATCCTAATTCTTTTGTAATTTTGATGAGGGAGGGGTTCCTTTTTGGTTCAGTTTCTTTACTATCCTTACTCCTGAAAAGTCCCTTTCTAAAGTTCTTTTCTTTTTCCTACCTTTTTTCTGAAAGTTTGGCTTAAAATAATGTATACTCTTCAATGTGTTGTCTTTCATTATATAGCAGCAAAAATGTGTTTCTGCCTATTTTATGTCTAAGAGTACAGTCTGCTTTGTAAATTCTGTTGCTGTAGGAGCTTTCACTCTGACATCACCATTTTTTCCTTTTAGACAAACTTTGGTGCTTGTTTGCATTTTGGACCTGATCCTTCCAACACAAATTCAAATAAGTAACTTCACCCATATTAGTAACCCTACGTGAATACAATTATTCAAGTATTAGTGTTTGTAGGAGCAATGCTTGAAGTTTTACTTCCACTCAGGATATATTAAATGAAAGCAAGGAGGAATGTATAATAAAAAGTATAAATTAATCTTAAATTCAAGGATGTCAATGAACGTTAAAAACATTAATGCACTGTAGTGAACAACATTCATAAGAGTACAGTAGGACAATTTTGTTAACTCCACTTTACAAAGAAAGCAACTAAAAGACAGGGTAAGATTACATACCCAAGGTCGCATGGTCACATGGTATGCCATAGAGCAGAACCAAGAACAGAACCAAGCTTTTCTAATATGTAGGATATGTATGGACAGATGAGCATTTATACCACTTTAAAGGTAGGGATGCAGGGGGTTAGGAAGCAGGGAGACCTACCATACAGGACTGTCAGTCAGCTGATTTGTGATCTGTGTTGTGTCTTCACTCCTGTAGGATGCAATAGGTGCACCACAATAATGTGTCCCTGAGTAAAACAGAGAGTAAATTATTATGATTTAGCTTCTGCATACTGTGGAATAAAGCAGATAGAAAAACAGTTATAAGGAATTCCTCTGAACTATAGTGAGTGCCTCCCCACTTTTAAAACACCATAATTGTGTAATCTGTTCTACCCCCCACCTTCTGCTTTAAGCCACAAAACCACCTCCTAATTATTGTAGTATTAGAGGCCCACTTAAATGGTGTGCTGTTAAACTAACATAGATTTTCTCATTAGCCCCGGGTTATACCTCATTTAATGTCATGGAGTTTAGTAATGCTTCACCAATTTATGGGGAAAATAGCTTATAAATGCTTTTTAAAGAAGAAAAAAGTGTTTGCTTTTGTAAGATTAAAAGAAGTCATTGTCAGAGGACTGGATGACTCATAAGTTTGGTAATAGTGTATAGAGACTTCCCCTAAATCCTGCTAACACTTGGGCACAAGTATTTCCATTAAGTTCATTTGGAGTGCTCTCATAAGTACAGTTACGTATGTGTTTGTAGGAATGGTAGAAGGCCTCACTCAACTTGAATTCAGCCTAAATCAAAAATAAGTTGCTCCCATCTGAGAGCTACACTATCTGAGGAAGTCAGCTTGTCCTGCTCCAGCTCTACATACACAAAAACCTTTGCCATAAATTAAACTCTTTTGGTTTTCTCAACAGAGTCCAGAGACTAGAATGAGCTTTGCTGCCTCTGGAGATAGTTCCTTGAAGACAGGGTTGAGACATATTGGCAGAAGGCTTTGGGGAGATGCTGTTGCTACTTGCAGTTAGCTTTTATGTGACTAAATAAAACATATTAGTTTCCGGTGCTGTCAGTCTCACCTGGAGATTCACTTATAAAAATAAATATAAAAAATGAGGTCACCACAAGCTAATTAATATTTTATGTCTTGCTGTTTTTGAATGGTGCCTTTGCTTTATCATTGGTTGAATGATATTGACCACAATGGCATATTGCAGACGTTGCATTACATTAAAAAATAAACAAGATGATTTAATAGCTAAAGGGAAACAGTCATGTAATAAAACTCTGCTTCTTGTTTATCTTACGTCATTAATGGCACTTTTTATGTTGTGTTTTTAGCTCCCCATGCTGGAGTCAGTCCAGCTGAATATTACCATCAGATGGCTTTGTTGGCAGGTCAGCGCAGCCCGTATGCTGACATCATTCCTTCTGCTGCCACTGCAGGAGCTGGTGCCCTTCACATGGAGTATCTTCACGCCATGGATAGTAAGTGACCACACCATATAGAATGAGGCAAATTACAGCCTCAGTCCTACAAAGACAACTGCGTGGGTTGACCTCTGTGAGTGCATGGAACCTTGCTGATATCAGTGGGACTTTGTGTCCCCATGCTTCTTTTTGCAGGATGCTGGCCTGAGTGTACTTTGGGAGGAATAGCACTGCAAATTTCACAGTGATCCTTAAAAGGGAATCAGGAGAGAAATTTGACTGATCCTGATCATAAAGGGCTATGAACAAAACTGACCTTCAGTGGGACTTAGGTGCTTTTAAAAATGTTGCCTTAAGCATCAACCAGATGCCAAGTCAATTTTATCATTAATGTTGATGTATTCACTATTACTAAGGAACATGCTTACATCAATTTTTCTAATCCTTGTAAGTGTCCTCCTAACCACCCCCCCCAAACTAAATAAATAATAACATGAACAACTTGTAAAATGTGCTGAAAGAGTTTTCAGAGAGAAACAGCAGTGTTTCCCAATTGTACAACATTGTACTGAAGAAGCATTGAGGTTGTTCTGGCTTACATGTTATGGATTGTTGAGTCCCTGAGAATCCCAACCCAAATTTCTATATAGCTTCCTCCACCACTTAACCTTCTTTGAGACCTTTCATTGTTATCTAGCAAATGAGGAATTGAGAGCACTCCATGTAAAGCTGCTCACTGCTACTGCTAATCAGCCAAAAAACGGTTGCTGTTGAATTATGGAAAGTACTCCACTCCACTTAAGAGGTGCTTACACTGTGTGTGGAACAATCTCAGCTCCCTGAAACTTGGGAAGTCTGAGGCTGGGACTAGAAATCAAGCCTTGTTGACTCTCACTTGGCAGTAGGGAGCAATACTACTGTATTAGACCACCTGTTTGGCCTGTAACTTTTTAAAATCCTTGCTAGTGCATGGTTCTGTATCTCATTATTGGCCATATTCCATGGCTGCTGATCCCAAGGAGTTGACATCAAATATGAGAGTCATGAGGCTCCCCCACAGAATGTATAAGAGCATGGGAAAGCTGCTGTTGTCAGGAAATCCTTTGCAATTTGTTTGCATATGTTTGTGTGCATATGTGTGAGTATATGCATGAGTATGTAAGAGAGGTGATGGAGTAATCATTTTTACAAGAGTCAGGCAAACTGTATGGAGTAGGAATTGAACACGCAAATTAAACATCATCATTGATTAGTTGGAAATAAAGTGAGCATATTTTTTTAACTTTAGTCTGTTTCTGTTAACAATGATATATAGTGCTGCAGCTGCGCACAATGACTTTTGGTAGGTAGGTAAGATATTCCAAACTTATTTATTTCCTACTTAAAGAGGCCTATAATGAATATGTACAAGTAGAGTTGACATAAAACCAGATTTACAGATATCAGTCCTGCTGAACTTCACAGAACATGACGCTTTCAGATGGGTTTTCAGGGTACAATGCAAGAAATGGGTGATAAATTACTATTCTCTGTTATTAATGTGTCTAGAATACCATACTTACTCGAATCCAAGACAAGACCTTTTTCCACATGGGGGGGGAGGGGGAGGTAAGCCTCTCATTTTGGATTTGAGTCCAAGGCAATTGGGAGGAGTGGGAAGAAGGTGGCTGCTGCACATGTGACTCTGACCAACCCAGATTTGGCCATTGCTGCCCACCCCTCTCCTGCTGCCAGTTCTACCTTCTCCCAATCCCCCACCTCCGCTGCCACTTGCCCTCTGCTCTGGCATGGCTCTAGCCCTGCTGCAGTCCAGAGCACAGAGTATGTGCTCCAGCTCCAGCCCAGCCATGCAGCAGCTGTGGCAGTAGCAGCAGCTTCAGTCTCAGGTCAGGGTTCAGGGCTGGGTGAGAGCTGCTGCCACTGCACTAGCTGCTGCATGGCCAGACTGGGGCTAGAGCAGGGCCAAGGGCTAAGGGTGGTAGCAGGGTACCATGCCAGTGTCAGAGCCAGAGGGTAAGCAATGGTGTGGGTGGGAGCAAAGGGGCAGAGGTGGTGAGGGACAGGCAGAGGGGCAGAGCCAGCAGAAGGGCAGGAACGGGGCTGCGGGCACCTTGGGGGAGGCAGGCATCAGGACGGGGAAGTAGTGGGGATGGGGACACAGGCAGCAGGGAGCGAAGTGTGGGGGGTGAGGAGGAGGGGTCAGGCCACTTGACTTCTCCATAGCCCCTTTGCAGCCTTCCCTCCTTTCACTGCTTTCCCTATTGCAGCAATGGGGGGAAAATTAAGACAACCCTCCAATAATTAGATTCGTTACATGGGAAATTATAACAATATAGAATCTTAAATTCAGAGTCATCTTGGATTCAGGTAAATACAATAGATCCATAGCAACTTACAGCGGTTGGTATTATGCACATTTCTGGTAACATAAATGCAATTGCTTCCACTTCGTAGCTCCGTTGAGGTCAATGGAACTATCATATTTGGAACTAATTGAGACTTTGGTCCACCTGATATAAAACCTTGAGTCTCAAAGTGCTATATAGGGAGTGGGCACACTCCAGGCTGTCATGGAGATCTATTGTCATTTTTCTGTGCAGTACTTAGCTATTATGATGATGGGTATTCTATGAAATCCTAAGACTGGACACTGAAACACTTATACAAATAATGGCAGTAACACTGAAGAATCTATTAATGTAAGTAAAGACTAGAAGAGAGACACTGCTCTAATATTCATAAAAAAACAGCTTTAACATTGCAACTGCATTACCCCTTCTTACATAAAGGGAGAGTATTGGCCTTCACTGCTGATAACTTCATTCATAAAAGAGTGCCTTAACCATATTCACAAATAGGAACATTTCCTGTCACTGGTTTTGGACACATGGATATTTATTATAACCTATTTAATTTGTTTGTGTTTGTTTTTAAAGCTGAGATCAGACATTTGAAATTCATTAAAGCAGCAACTTTTCAATAAGGAATTACTGTGGTGCTAAAGGCAAAAATATGTAGCAATGTTATGCAAATGCGTTATTTTTAAACAGTAAATAGAGAATTAAAATAAGAGTGAATCCTAAGAAGGTCACTTAGGTTCACCTTCTGTGTTTGATGAAAATGTTTTTAGTCAGGCAATAACTGCTTTTATCTTAATAGGAGATGAAGTTACCCTTTTACTTTGTAAAAACTAATTAAAACTATCTTAACTTGCATGGGTATACAGCAAATTAATTGTCATTAAGTAGGAATCTGAACGTCCTATCATTCATCATGCTAAAGAAAACCCCTTTCTTCTTTGTCAGAATTTTAGATTAGAAAAGAGAAACAAAACAATTAGCAGAAAGGCGATATTAAGATGCTTTTTAACAATATGAATGCCTATGTTTACATTCAATAGCTAAATGCTGTGATCAATGCAAAACTATGTCATTTGTATGGATCACTCTTCTTCAGGGTTTTTATAGTGATCTTAAAAGTTGTCCTTCCCCACCATCTTGTCACAGAGAATGAAAAAGAAATTGATAGTTTTCCTCATTATCTCTTTAATCAAATTCTGAGAAGGTAACTGACTCAATCCACTGAAAGACCCCTTCTCATTTACTCCACACAACAACTGAACAAAGACAAAGAGAGACTGTTCTTTATTTACAAAATGGCAGTTGTCTCTTAAATGTATGTGCATACACCATCTAGCACAGTGATCTATTTTGAAGCCTCAAGATTAATACAAATAATAACAACGTCACATACTATACAGAAGAGATGAGTGCATTGTATGCAATATGAGGAATAACCTTCTTTGTGGTGTTGGAGAACCATAGTAGGGTAGCAGTCAAGGTGCTTGATCTTATGCAGAGGTTTAAGAGTTTCTGCATGGGCTGAAGTCTAATCTACCAAGACTTTTTGGTGTATTAGTAAGGAACAAGGCCAAGATTGTCCTTGGATCCTTGACTACATCATTTCCTCCTCTCATGTCCTCCTCTCAGAGGTTTGGAGTTTAACTTGATCTTCTTGAATGCTACAAGCCTTTTTGTGGCTATTTCTACAGGATGTTTTGGCAGTAAACAGATTTTTTACTTGGGTTTCTGCACAGATTTCCTCTTTTTCTCTTGACCATTCTCAGACCATACTTATTTTATAGTGTATTTTAATTATATCTACATATAACTAGGGGAGAAAATGGAGCTATGTTCCAACCCAACAGTGGCAACACTGTAAGTTTTGTTGGGAAGAAATGTCACCCTCATCCCTTTTTAGGTACTTACAACTTTCTGAAAAATTACCACCTTGATGATTGAGTGCTACTTAAATTCTAGAACTGTTTTTTTTCCCTTGTTTTTGAACAGTTCTTACTGCAATGCAGCCATAATCCTGACTGAGGTGTTTGGATACTGCTGCAATATATGATAATAGTAACACTTCAGCTAACAGTATTCATACTGTTTAGCCTCAGTAACTTTGGGGGAAAGGTGGCTAGGAGGGATGCTGTGTGGAATGTCTGGAGGACCAACCAGACCCATGTTGTATGTTGGTGTCCATACATTGCAGTGGACCAGTTAAGAATAGCACTTGATTTTCAAGGTGCACTTTTGAACCACTCAGTATAAACCACATTTAAACTGTTCCAAGTGTTATGTGTTTTGACTGGTAGAACCATTCGTTTCACTTGTATGTCAGTAAGAGATTTATCAGTTTGGAAACCAAGACAAAACTCACAATATATACTTCTATAGCATTAAAACCAAATTTCTTCTGATGCCTATGAACCAAAAACCATTGAATTTAACACAATTCTATTTATTATTATTTTTAATTCAACCATGTCATGTACACAGCATTTGGTAAAGACCAACACCTTGGACCTGTGTGAAGAAATTTAATTTAAAGGAGTGAAGTTATGTACATCTAAAAACTGTTCCATAAATAATTGAGAGATGCTAAAAATTTAAATTCAGAAATAAAGTTAATGAACAGATTTGCATTATGTGGTATTCCATTTTCTAAAGTAATGATTGATATCTCATATTTTAGAAATAACTGTACCCAAAAAATCA